AAGGAAGGAAGGAAGAAAGAAAGGCAATATTCTACAGAGGAACATAACAGAATCTAAAGCTTTCATATCATTCACAATGCCTAGAATACATCCTAAATTAATGCACAAAAAGCAGAAAAACATGACCTACACTCAAAAGAAAAGACAATCAAAAGAGACCAACACCCAAAGGATCCAAGTGTTGGAATTAGTAGACAAGGGTTTTAAAGGACCTCCTGTATCTATGCTCAAGGACATAAGGAAAATATACTCATGATGTACAAACAAGGAGGACATCTCAGCAGAAATACAGAAACTTTAAAAAAGAACCAAATGGAAATCCAAGAGCTGAAAACTCACAATGTCTGCCATTTTAAAGTTCACTGGATGGATTTAACAGCAGATTGAAAGTGGTAGGGAAAAAAAGAGTAAGCCACCTCAAGAGAAAGTATCCAATTTGAAGAACAGAGAGAGAGAGAAGATTGAAATAAAACAATGAATTGAGCCTCAGGCATTGATGGAACAATATTAAAAGACCCAACATAGATGTAATTGTAGGTCTAGAAAAAGAGAAAGAGAATAAAACCAAAAAACTTTTAATTTTTAAAAATTTTTAATTAAAATTTTAAAAAAATTTTTAATAATGGCCATAGTTCAAAAGTGTCTCAAGTTTGGTGAAAGGTATAAAATTGCAGGTTCAGGAAGTTCAACTAAACCTAAGCAGGATAAACACAAAGAAAACCACACCTGCGCACATCTTAATACAACTGCTGAAAGCCAAAGATTAGGAAAAATTTTGAGACAAGTCACAGAAGAATGTCACAATAGGGGAACAGTGATTTGAAAGATCCATGACTCAGCTATGGCAGCCATGAAAGAGTGTAATATCTTTAGAGTATTGAAAAGAACAACTGGATTCTATATCCAGCGAAAATATCCTCAAAAATGGAAGGCGCAACCAGTTAAAGAATGAAGAGGTCACTGATGCACAAGTTGAGCCTGATGATGGTGGCACGGGGGTGGGGCCCATGGAGGTAAAGTCGCCCAGGGAAACCTCACCGAGAGGGGGACACTATAAGCTGCAACCTGAGAGCTGAGTAGCAGCCAGCCTTGGGACAAGTCTCACTCCCCATCACACCTTTGCTCTAGCACGCACCCGGCAGGTGCACCATGCCTTTGTATGGGATGAACAAAGGAAAGAATATATGGGTGAAACGTTGTATGTGAAAAGCATCAGACTTTGTCTTGACAGTTCTAGAGTCAACTGGAATCCTGGGGCCAACAGGTGGAATTTGCAGGGAAGCAGGAAAGAGTTCTCAGAATTCTGGTAATAGAAAAGAGTTTGATGGCTGAAAGTTCCCCAGAGTGGAGAGCAACTGGTGCAAGGAGTGACAGAGACTCTAGTGCTAGCTAGTAGAGGCAGACGCTGGTGTAAAACCTCACCGGCCCAAATGGACAGGAGGAGGTGCCCCAACTCAGGTTGTGAGTGGGTAGGTTTTGCCTGGAAAGTGATTGAAGCTGAGTGATGTATTTCTTACTCTTCAGCGTACATCAGAATTACCTCAAGGGCTGCTATGAGTTGCAGATTCCTGAACCCCACCCATAGGGTATGCTTTAGTGTGGTCCCTGGAGTCTGAGCCCCTGGAGTTTGCATTTTAAAGTATTCTTTAGGTGATTTGTACCACAGTGACTAGAGGACCCCATTGAGAAACACAGCCTCGCCACAATATTTGGTCTCCACCCTTTAGATCCTTGACAACCAGAGAGGGAAGATGAAGTAACTAGACCTCCCTAACTGGAGGGCATGATGCTGCAACAGGAAATCCAGCAAAGCTGTTCTCCAAAATGCATGCAACCATCAAAAATCACATTATTGAAGGCTCTCTGACAGCAGAGAGAAAAATGTTTATGCTTGGTAAAAAAACAAACAAACTAGATAATTGCCATTATATTTTACTACTATCTACATTTACTTCATATGTAAGGAAACAGAGAAAGGATATTAGAAGGGTATATCTCAAAATGTTGAAATTGCGGGCGCCTGGGTGGCTCAGTTGGTTAAGCGACTGCCTTCAGCTCAGGTCACGATCCTGGAGTCCCGGGATCGAGTCCTGCAACAGGATCCCTGCTCAGCGGGGGATCTGCTTCTCCCTCTGACCCTCTACTCTCTCGTGCTCTCTGTCTCTCATTCTCTCTCTCTCTCTCTCTCAAATAAATAAATCAAATCTTTAAAAAAATGTTGAAATTGCTCACCTTTAGTGATAAGGAAACAGAAATCTATTCCCTTTGTACTTGCCTCTATTGCCAAATTTTGAACAATATCTATATATTAGTACTTTCATTTTAGTTTTCCCCTGTTGGTTAGGCAAAACAAATTCGCAATACACAAGGCTTCTGGAATTTCCAGTGTCCTTCGTCTGCATTGTAAATGTACTTTAAGCATGTGACTTTTATAACTTATCAAGGCAATAGATTTCATTTAGGATGTTTCTAGCTGCAAGTAAGAGAAAATGAAAACAAATTATTGTCTAATATAATAGCAAAAACCACAGTCAGCAGCTCCGGGTTTGGCTCATTCAGCGGCTCCATATTTAACCAAAAGCATAGCTTCTTTCTCTTTCTGCTCTGTCCTCATCAACATGTCAGTCTACCCTTGTCAGGCTCCCCTCACTATCCCAAGGTGGCTGCCACAGGTCCAGGTATCACATACTTACATGACAACCCCCAGCAGCACAGAGGTATGTCTCTCCAGGCAGGGGACTTCAACACCTCTCAGTGGCCAGGATTGGATCACATGCCTTTTCTAAGCTGATCACTGGCAAAGGAATGGTATTGACAGACTTAGACAAGTCAGAATTTACTAGAATGACATGGAGGAGCAGTGGACAGGAACAAAACCCAGGGTTTGCTCAAAGGAAGATGGCTTCGGGTCAGGCAACCAATCGGCTTTCCTACAGAATGTTTCTTCATTTTGCCCACTTAAGTGTGAGAGAAGAAAAGTCAAGGTCTTAAGTTTATCAGTCTCCTTCATTCATTCATCCAATATTTATCAAGTGCCTCTTGTGGATCAGAGAGTGTGTTGGGAGGAAGGTGTACAGTTGTAAATAAGATAAGGAAGACTATCTTTCCACACAGTTCATGTATTGTAGCATGTGGTTTTGACTTTTAGAGGGGAAGATAACTGATTTTTTTAAAAGGTAGTCCATGTGAGCAGGAAGTAGACCTGAGATAAGCCACCAATGAGAAGTGGGTTCTGGTTCCTGGCCCAAGTTTCAGAGGCAAAACCCCCAGTCCTTCCCCAGATGAAACAGACACATGTGAATGAGTTCAACTTGTTAGAAGGGAACATAGCAACAATCTAGCAAAACATGCAAAGACCACACCAGCCAGAGTATGTTCTTCTAAGATGAATTCCCACAGACATAGTCACACTGGCGCACAAATACATTTGCACAATGATACTATTTGCAGTGTAGTTTGTCACAGCAAGAATGGAACTAATCTAAACGTCTGTCAGAAAAGACGGGTCACATGATCTGTGAATCCATATAATGGGATACTCTGCGGTCATTCAGACAGATGAGCCAGATGCGCACCGCATGTGCTGATGTGAAACCGTCTCCAAGGTCAATTTTTTTTTTTTTAACATTCAGAGGCAACTCTTTAATGACCCTCATTTGAGGACAGAAAGGTGAGGTCGGCCAGCTGCTCTTCATGTGGCTTTTTGTTTTTTGTTTTTGCAGTTAAGTCCTTCAAAGGATGAATAGTGAAATCAAGTCATTTCTCCTCCTGGAATTTCTCCTTCTTCTTATTTTTCTTTGTTGGAAGTTTATATATATAAATGTGTTAGTATATGGACATTATAAAAGAGAAGGGAGGGGCGCCTGGGTGGCTCTCGAAGCATCTGCCTTCGGCTCAGGTCATGATCCCAGGGTCCTGGGATCGAGCCCCGCATCGGGCTCCCTGCTCCACAGGAAGCCTGCTTCTCCCTCTCCCACTCCCCCTGCTTGCGTTCTCTCTCTCGCTGTCTCTCTCTCTCTCTCTGTCAAATAAATAAATAAAATCTTTAAAAAAAAAAAAAAAGAGGGTTGAGAGCCAGACTGCTCACTGTACATCTTGTTATATGGATTGACTGTTGAGCATCGTTAATATATTTCCTATCTGAAGAAAATTAAAGATATGATACAATACAATAAAAGGATTGATCCAGCAGCTGTGTGGAGCGGTGCTGTACAATAGACAGGAGTGAATTATTGACGCATAAAATACCATGGATTCATTTCAAAAACATAATGCTGCGTGCAGCCAGCATGGTCAGGACACGCTCTGTATGGTTCCATTCGCACAAAGCTCTAGAACAGGAGAAATGAATGGATGGTCACAGAAAGCAGGTCAGTGGTTTTCGGGGTAGGAGGTGGGATCAGAGATCGGCTGGGAAGAGGCACGAGGGAGATTCTTGGGGTGATGCAAATGTTTTTATCCTGATGACGATGTGGCTACACAGATGTATATGTGGGTCAAAACTCCTTGAACTGTACATTTTAAAATGTCTGCATTTTATTGCATATACATTACACCTTAATAAAGCTGATTTAAAACAACGTTTGCAAGAGAAAAAAATGCAGAGCCGTCCGGAGCCGAGAGTTGCAGAATCCATTTGTTGTATGTGTGGCCTGACTTGCACATGGTCTTGATGGTCTTGCACGGTGTAAATGGGGACCGGCGGGTTCTGGGGGAGCCAGAGCGTGGGCTCAGCCAGACCTGGGCTGCTGGCAGGTCCAGCTGGAGAGGTGCGTCAGAGCCAGGTTGTGGTGGCCTCAGCTGCCACGCTGGATGTTTACATTTCAGTCTGTAGATAGTGGGGAGTGAATGGAGGTGTTCCGCTAGAGAGAGGTGTTGCGGGGAGGCTCCCGGGACAGCACTGGGCAGCAGAGCTTGGAAGAGGAAGAGCTTAGACATGGCCCCACTTCCGCTACCCTCAGGCCAGAAATAAACCTCAAACAATTTCACAAGCAACCTTCTCTCCATCTCGAGTTGCTGAAAATTGGGCTGCCTCAAAGCCTAGAGCCTCCCCCGCCCTCTCTCCCAACGGGCTCAGTTCCTCATCTGGCCACTGGCTTTTTAAGCTCCTCGGCGCTGCTGCCACCTTCAGCAAGGGAGGCTCCTACAGAAAGCAACCTCTGCCCGGGACGTTGCTGAGGACAGGATGATGGCCAGACTATACCGTGTGGTAGTCACCCTACTGCTGCTGGCAGAGGTCTCTGGGTTCGAAGAAGGGGCAACCAATCCTGGGTTTGTGGCCAGAATCACCAGAAAAGGCCTGGAATATGGTAAGGGGGGGGCGGGTGTCAGCCATTCCTCTGGTGTCCACTGTTGCCCACCAGAGTGGTGTGGTAACCAGGACAAGGGACCACAGGCTGGAATTCTGCCCCTGCCTGGCTCAGAAGCCTTGGATATGTCCCCCTCTGGGCTTCAGTTTCCTCGTCTTGAGTATCAGAGGTGAGGGACGGGACTAGACCAGCATTTTCCCCGGGGGGTCCGTGGACCACCCTGGAATTGCCGGGACATATGTTAAAATACAGATTCCAAATATCCGTCTCCTGTCAACTGAAGCTAGGCTTGGGAATCTGCATTGTGAACATATGGCCCTGGCAACAGTGAAAAACCTGAAGGTTTGACCATGCTGCAGGGAATGCATCCTCAAAAGCCTCACCATATTGTATCATTGCTTCCACGATCTTGTTGATCAACGTAGATAAATAACGCCTGCCATTTACCTGGCACTTTGAGTTCATGATCTAATTTAATTCTCACGCTCCGGTTGGTATCATCACTGTGACCATTGTACAGTTGGGGGGAAGGAGGCTCAAGGAGTTTAAGGGTCTTGCTTGGGAGCACACCAAGAGGAAATGGCAAGTCCTACATTCAATCCCTGTCCGTGTGATTTCAAAGCCCGACCACTCGGCTGTTGGGCTTGGCTGCTTCCCACGGCATGAGCTGACTCCCACTATTTCCCCTCAGCCCGCCGATTCGGAGTAGCCATCCTGAAGAAGGAGCTGTCCACAATCAAGTTGCCTGATTTCTCAGGAAGCTTCAAAGTCGGCTGGATTAAAAGTGTGAGCTATGACTTTTACAGGTAAGGTCTCTATTCTCCACCGTAGGGGCAGTGGAGGAGGCAGAATGGGGGCCTGGGTTCCTGGGGGAGGGGGATAAACATGGAATCATCACTTGGATTAAAGGCAAAAGGATCATGACCAACTCTTGTGGAGCTTCTGGAAGGTGCTATATGTTTCTTGAATCATCAGGATGGGAGGGAGAGCCTTGGAAACCATTCACAGGCCCTGAGGTCAGTCCTGCAGAAACTAGCCCTAGATTTTTGCTCTGCCAGAGACCCCTGGCTACTCTCCTGATTGCCCAGATGAGGGACCTGCTTGAGATACACTATCCATCCCTCCAAAGCCTTTTAAGGGTCTGTAATGAAGGACTTTTAAGCTTTTCTGGAACCTGTTCGGACTTTATTTGCATACTGCTTCTTGAGGATAGCATCCACACATAACCCTAGTGAGGAATAAAGCAGCTGGCCTCCTGGTCCTGGTGAACCAGTCCCAGCTCCTCATCTCCCTCCCCATAAGGCCTAACTGACCCTAATCTCCCTGTAGCTTTTACACAGTCCATCTTAGAGTCTTCACACCTTACTCTTTCTTTAGCCATTCCTTGATTACATGGATTTTTCTTCCCCAGGCCCCAGTGGGTCCATAATAGGTTTTTGGGCATCATTTATTCATCCCTGATAGAAAAGGCTCCCTCTTAGAATCTTCCCAAAGTCTCTCAGGATAATTTCCTGAAGGCAGTGAGCAAAAAAGAGCTACTTTAAATTTGCACACACACACACACACACACACACACAATACCCAGGCCATGCCACTTAGAGGTCAAGGGCCCTTCCCACAGCCCTAGAGCATCCCTTGCTTCTAGTTTTCACATTAGGCCACTGTGGTTTGTTAACACCTCCAGATCTACCACCAGCTGTGAGCTCTTCAAGGGCAGGATCTCAATGGATGTTTGTTGAGTGAACTAATGAGGGTTGATGCGGCAAGAGCCACAAACTCAAATGGCCACAAGGAGGGGCTGATGCAGATGAGTGTACCAGGCAGCGTGACTATACCCATCAAGGACCAGCCAAAAAAGCAGAATCCACACGAGGAACTTCAATGGGGGGAATCTAATACAGGGAATTTTCCTGAAAGGTGTTAGAACAACCAAAAAGCCAAATAGGGAACAGTGAAGCAGCCCAGAAATTAGCAACAACAGAAAGTCACTAACAACTCTAGAGCCAGAGAGTTCGCTCGGAGGACTAATATGTGCCTGGCTTTTCTGGGTTTGATATTCTGCCTTCTTCCCCAGACTGACGATCCATTGCTTCGAGCTCAGGAACTCGGATTTGAGGCTACGCCCAAGGCAGGGGGTCAGAGCATCCCTATCCAATAACTACATGTTTGTCAGTGGGAACTGGAAGGTGAAAAAGGCTTTCGTGTGAGTAGTACTTGGGTTAGGATGTCTCTCAGACAATCAGTCTACAAAGGAACCAAATCTGACCATCTCCACACCTCCATTTATTTATCTGTAAAATGGGATTAATAATAACTCACCTCATTGATGCAGCTGTGGATTAAGTAAAATAACAGATATAAGGCATTTAGCAGTTTGCTTTTCCGGCACAGAGCAGATGCTTAATAAATGCTGGCTGCAAAGTAGAGGCTCTGTTAGGATACACAGCTACTTAGTAGGGAACTGGAGACTGGTCTTTTGGCTTCTCTTCCTGGAGGTGACTGATTATACACCATTTGCTTCCCATAACTCCCAACCAGCACCCTAGATGGTACTTTCGATGTGAATGTGGATGGCATTTCCATCTCAGTCTCTCTGAAATTGGGCAAGGACCAGTCTGGACGGCCCACTGCCTCTGTGGCCCACTGCCGCAACTCCATTGGCCACATCAGCGTTGACATTTCTGGACAACTAAGGTAAGCGACTCCATGCACTTGCTGGAGATTGTCAGAGACGCCTCGGCATCCAGCTCACCCAGGGATGCTCCTGATGGGGCATAAGAGCAAGATTTAAGGTGTATCAAGATCAGAGGTCAGCCAACTAAAGGCCTACAGGCCAAACCAGTCTGTGTCATGTTTTCGTAAATAAAGTCACTGGAGCATGGCCACGCTCATCGGCTCACGTGCCGTCTGTGGCTGCTTTAGTCTACAACAGCAGAGTGGGGTACCTACAACAGAGACCATGTGGCCTGCAGAGCCCAAAATATTGACTGTCTGGACCTTTAAGAAAAAGTCCGCTGGGGCGCCTGCGTGGCTCTGTCAGTTGAGCATCCGGCTCTTGTTTTTTGTTTTCAGCTCAGGTCATGATCTGAGGGTTGCGAGATTGAGCCCTGCATCGAGCCCCATGTCAGGCTCAGCGCTCAGCACAGAGTCTGCTGGAGATGCGCTCTCTCCCTCTCCCTTTGCCCTTCCTGGGGTGGTAATAGCTCCCTACTGTCGGGTCGGGGGCAAACAGAACAAATAGCCAATTGCCTCTTTGCTGGACATGTATTTGCTGGGTGACCGTGTTGGGGGGAGAAATGTCAGCAGAAAGGTGGGGCCCTCTAATCCTGTCAGTTTCAGGGGAATTTATATTTTGGGGAACCCAGAGACTTAGCTGTGCATTTACTCAACTGACAAATGTTTTCTGCACAATACTAAAGCCTTTGAACTTAAGGCTGACATTTGGAAAAGGAAACTTTTAGTGGAGACTGGATAGCTTGAAACCACTGTGTTGTTTTAACTGGGTGAGCATAATGTCCCATTTCTCAGAAACAAAGCCATGAAATTCTGTGTGGTTAACACACACACACACACACACACACACAGTGGAGATGGACACAGTGGAGATGGACACAGTGGGGGCCAGAAAAACACTTTTGCTAGTTTGTTAGGGTGGTCATAGCTGCACAGTTGGGTGCTATTGCTATGGACACAGAAGCATGAACGCCCAGGGTCTTGACCAAAATAGGGAATTGCTAGCCTTAGTCATCCAGTTAACAAATATTTATTGATGCCTATTATTTGTCAGATCCTGAGCTAAATGTTAGGAATATAAGATGATGCAAAAGAGACAGGGTCCCTACCTTGGTGCAATGTATATTCTAGTGGGGGAAGGAGACATAAAGTATTGTAATATATATTGAATTACCTTCAACATAGTTGTGATAACATGCTTATAAAGAGAGAGTCCAGATGTTATGAATGTAGAGGGTTTACTTAACATTTGGAGCAGAGACAGTTTCTTCAAGGAAAGGATATCTGAAATGAGCCTTGAATTTTAGCACAAGAGGAGGAGGGGAGAGCTTCTCTGGTGGAGGAAGAAGCATGTGCAAAGATCCTGAGGCATGAAAAGCCTGGGCTTCCCAGGAAGCAAGCAGAGGTCAGTGTACCTGATGGGGTGGTGATTAATTAGAAAAAGTGAAGAGAATAGTCAGGAGCCAAACTCTAGTCTTTATCCTGAAGTGAGGCAGCAGGAAGCCACTGGAGGATTTTAAGAAAGGCAGGGATGTAATCAGATTGGCTCCAGTAAAAGATCACTTCCTTTAGAGATTAGAGCAGGGCAGAGTGAGTAAAGGGAGGCCCGAGAGGGGAGAGGCAGTAGTCCAGGCAAGAGATGATGATGCTCCAGGGGCCGGTGATGGCAGCAGAGGTGGGGGGAAGTGCCTGTGGCAGATTTAGAAGATTGGACTGAATTTGGGCAATAAGAGGAGGAATGGGGCCAGGATGACTTTATGTAGCCTGTGATCCATGGAAAGTTTCCTACTGCTTCAATCTGTTCTACTTTAGCTCAATGTTGGAAGGGTACCCAGAGTTGTTGGAGGGGACAGACTTTTCTAGAAGCAACACCCCCACCCACAGCTGTCAGGGACTCCAGCCATGGTCTCTAAAGTCGGGGTCATTCAGACCTACCCAGTGTCCAACTTTCAGCCAGTCTATGAGTCTTGGGCTGGCTCAGGGCACAGAACCCTGGAAAGTTCAAGATGTTTTCTGCAGAACCCCAGAAAATACTTGGGTCCAATTTTACTGCATGTATTTATAATATACATACATTTATAATACACATCACTCAATCAGCAAGTATGGAACAGTAAAGAAAAAATTGTGGGAGAAGAAAATTTTACCAGACATAATTCCACTAACTTAGTTCACTTATTTCCCACAACCTCTTACCCTCACCCCAGTTGAGAACACAGTGCTCAATGTCTGTTCTGGGCCATGATTCTCACCGAGTGCTATCTGTGGTGGGGAAGAGTCTCTGAGGGCAGCTTTACCTGAAGTGGGTTAGACTCACATCATGCGCTCCATGAGCTTATTCACCAGCGTCCCCTCAACACCTAACTCAGTGCTCAGCTGGTTGGAGGAGCTCAGTAAATGTTTGTTGAATGAATGAGTGAGTGACTACTTGCTAAACTGCCAGGTAGGTTGTTCTGTGGATTTTGTAGGTTATAAAGAATAGGCCTGACTCCGCTTCTTTCTCTTTAATGAGGTATAAATGACATGGAGCACCACAGTAGTTTCAGGTATATGACACAATGATGGGATACTTGTAGACATTGTGAAATGATCAACCACAATAAGTCGCATTAACATCTGTCACCAGGGGCGCCTGGGTGGCTCAGTCATTAAGAGTCTGCCTTCGGCTCAGGTCATGATCCCAGGGTCCTGGGATCGAGCCCCGCGTCGGGCTCCCTGCTCAGCGGGAAGCCTGCTTCTCCCTCTCCCACTCCCCCTGCTTGTGTTCCCTCTCTCGCTGTGTCTCTCTCTGTCAAATAAATAAAATCTTTAAAAAAAATAAAAATAACATCTGTCACCATGCATAGTTACAAAATTTGTTTGTTGTGATGAGAACATTTTAAGATCTACTCTTAGCAACTTCCAAATATGCAATACAGTATTATTAACTGTAGTCACCAGGTTGTATATCATATCCCCAGGACTTATTTATGTATAACTAGAAGTTTGTACCTTTTGACCTCCATCACCCATTCTGGCCCCTGCCCCTGCAACCACAAATGTGTTCTCTGTATCTATGAGCTTAGTTGTTGCTGGGTTTTTTTAGATTCCACAGATAAGTGAGATCATGTGATATTTGTCTTCCTCTGTCTGACTTATTTCATTTAGCATAATAGCCTCAAGGCCCATCCATGTTGTTGCAAATGGTAAGATATCCTTTTTTTAAAAATTTTTTATTGTTATGTTAATCACCATACATTACATCATTAGTTCTTGATGTAGTGTTCCATGATTCATTGTTTGTGCATAACACCCAGTGCTCCACGCAGAATGTGCCCTCTTTAATACCCATCACCAGGCTAACCCATCCCCCCACCCCCCTCCCCTCTAGAATCCTCAGTTTGTTTTTCAGAGTCCATCGTCTCTCATGGTTCGTCTCCCCATCCGACTTACTCCCCTTCATTCTTCCCCTCCTGCTGTCTTCTTTTTCTTTTTTCTTAACATATGTTGCATTATTTGTTTCAGAAGTACAGATCTGTGATTCATCAGTCTTGTACAATTCACAGCGCTCACCATAGCACATACCCTCCCCAATGTCTATCACCCAGCCACCCCATCCCTCCCACCACTCCAGCAACCCTCAGTTTGTTTCCTGAGATTAAGAATTCCTCAGGTAAGATATCCTTTTTTATGGCTGTCTAATATTCCTCTCTGTGTGTGTGTGTGTGTGTGTGTGTGTGTGTGTGTGTGTACCACATTTTCTTTATCCTTTCATCCATTGATGAACTCTTAGGTTGTTTCCATATCTTGCTTATAATAAATAATGTTGCAGTGAACATGGAGTTGCAGAGATCTTTTCAAATTAGCATTTTCATTTTCTTCCAATAGCTACCCAGAAGTAGAATTGCTAGATCATATGGTAGTTTTATTTTTAATTTATTGAGGATCCTCCACACTGTTTTCCATACTGGCTGCACCAATTGACATTCCCACTTAACAGCATACGAGAGTTCCCCATCTGGTTGGGTCCCTTCATGGGATAACATGGGGGAAGTTCAGATCCATGGGTAGCCCTCTGTTTGGGAGTCCTAGTTAATCATAAAGTGAATCCTGATCCTCTTTCCTCTTTCTTCCAGCTGGATCCTGAACCTCTTCCATGAAAGAATTGAAAACAATTTCAAAAATATCTTGGAACAAAAGGTAAACAAAAGGATAAGTAGATTTGTGATTAATACAAGGATCATTGGCATGTACATATTTGATATTTGGAAACAGCCTTGTCTCTTAAATACACTGTCAATTGAATTTGCTTAGTAAAACTTGCTTCACTCATGGTGCAAAGGCCAACTTCAAGGCTTTCCCAAGTTTGTATGACCACATATGCTAAATTGGCATTTGGAACTGGCAGAGTGTTTGATATCTAGCTGTAGATAATGTTACAGAGATACAGAGAAGTGACTTTGGATCCTTCTCTCACACCGTACACAAAATCAAGTCCAGGTGGTCTAAGGATTTAAATGCCGAAACAAATCCAAAACTTCTTAGGAGAAAATCTATGATATCTTTCTCACTTTGAGGAGAGGAAAACATTTCTTAAATAAGACTGACCTCCCCCCCAAAAAATACACCATATTGAGAACAATAGTGGGGCTGGCCTCTCACCTCTGGAAAAAGGCTTGGAGGCAAAGAGTGCCTCTTCCATTTACCTGGTGTGTATCTTTGGGCACAGTGATGGACCCCCTGGAGCCTCACTCTACTCATTTGTAAAATGGGGACAAGGACCCCTACCTTGAAGGGGGCTGGCAAGGATTTGATGCAATAACCACTTAGCAGCACCTGGCACACAGGCTGTGCTCAGAGCACTCACCAGTACTGCAGAGTCATTTCTCCACCACATTTCACCTCCTAGAATCTTCGCTCTTGAGCACATGGGTTCTGCAGTCATGGGTTTAAATCTCAGCTCTGCCCCTTTGCTGGCTGTGATGCCGTGATTAAGTGGCTTACCCTCTATGAGCCTTGGGATTCTTGTCTGTAGAACAGGAATAATGACGGCATCTACCCTGCAGGGCTGTTGGGAGGACTGTATGACATCATACACACAGGCACTGACGAGTGCCTCATACAGAGGAAGGGCAGAGTCAATGGCGCAAGGTTATTTGCGTTGTCATTTATGCACCAGTAACCCTGGGCAACCGGCTGAGGCCAGAGGCAAGCTGTGGTCTCTGCCCTACAAATATAGGAAACATGGTCTAGAAAACTCTGGATACCGTGTGTCCAGGAGGGGATGGGGTGGGTGTCAGAGAGGCTGAGCCAGAGGAGTGGTCAGTTTCAGGGGATGGGGGCACTGACTATGGCCCTCATGGGGCTGAGAGTGTGAAGAGAGCCATGAAGAGAGAGAGGACCTCTGACCAGGGGACGTGGGGTGATGAAGTCACGCCCCCGAAGGGCTGGTGGCCTGGGTGGCGCTGCCCTTACCTTGTGCCCCAGGAGAGGCCAGGTCAGGCCCACCTAACACAGGCTGGCTTGGTGTTTGCACAAAACATTGGTTCCCAAAGTGGAGAAGCTTCCCCCAAAAGAAGTGTTGATTTTAAGTGATGTGGAGCTTTGGTACTGCATCCTGCAGAATGACAGAATGAACAAGCCATCGCCTTTGCAATCCTTTTTCTCTTTCTTTTTACACCAAAGAGAAAGTCTCAGTTTGGGGCCAATGTATCCTAAACACTTTTAACAAAAAAGGGGCATTATCCAACTAGGCAACCCTATCTAGCCTGGCTTCCAGGACGCTTTTTACCCCCAGTTATATCGTGTTTATGCCAAGGGATGCCAGTTTTCCGTTGACAAGTGATATGAAGTTCCTGTATTTTTTTAAAAAAAAATTTTTAAGATTTTATTTATTTGACACAGAGAGAGACAGCCAGAGAGGGAACACAAGCAGGGGGAGCGGGAGGGGGAGAAGCAGGCTTCCCGTAGAGCAGGGAGCCCGATGTGGGGCTCGATCCCAGGACCCCGGGATCATGACCTGAGCCGAAGGCAGACGCTTAACGACTGAGCCACCCAGGCGCCCCAAGTTCCTGTATTTTTTATTAAATGAATGTGATTTTTAAAAGGCCACTGGACATTAAATAGTTGGTACGTAAGTGAATAGGTGAGAAAGATAAAGTCATAGAGATGGTATAGGAATAGCTGAAGTTAGGAAATCACAAGACGGGGGACTTCTGGGATCTCCCAAGCCAGAACTCTTGATGTACAGAAGACCAAGCATGTTGGGGGCCGGCTGAGGAATGGGATTCTCACGAGAACTTCTCACGAGTCCTTCTGGCTTTGTTTTGGGGCCCTCTGGTGGCCCTAGTCAGTAAGGCCTGCAGACCAGGCACCACGCTCCTGGGGATGCCTTAATCCCAGATAGCCAGGAGCCTGAACAGGAAGAGGAGAAGGGGCTGAGGAATGAGGTGATGGGGCCTCTGGTTCAAGAGCTGCCTCCTACACCTGGAAACTCTCCAGCTTTGCCCCTAGGCTCTCTAATAAATGCGTTTATGTGCTATACTTCTTGCCGCTTAGCTGCCAAGATATTGAACTGAGGCCCATGACAATAGCAGACCCCAGAGCAGTGCCAACTTGGCCACCATTCACTTTTAATGTGGGTTCCAGAAAAGTCTAGGCACTTAAGCTGGGCCCATGTATGTGGCCCAGCCCGTAATGGGACAGTGACCAAGCGCTGTGTGTTGACGGAGGTAGTGGCCCCTTCTCCCTTTCGACCTGCTCTTCCACCCCTCACACACCCACCTACAGGGTGAGGAGAAAAGCCGGGTTTCTTGGAGGGCGGTGGGGGAGGGGCAGGGCCCAGAAGAGAGGGATAGTGGAACTCACCTGACTTTCTCCCCCACTTTCGGCAGATCTGCGAAATGGTCAGGAAGTCAACCACCTCTCACCTGGAGCCCTATCTCCGGACTCTGCCAGGTTTGGAGGCCCCCTCCTTTCTCTGGGTGCCATCGGATGCCATGACACCTGTTACCCCCAGACCCATGACCACCATCATCTCAAGAGCCCCAGGAGAACTTTCCCCATGGAGCACCTCTCCATCCCATGGAGCTGGATATGGGGAGACCATCTCTCTTGGAGGTCTGTTCTGGAGGTAGGGGAGTAAGGCGACTGAGCATCGTGACTCGGAAACATGCTGGGAGCGCGAGGTAGGCAGAGGATGACAAGCATATGGGAGAAGCACATGTTGGCTCTTTCCTGGCTGCTTTAACAAAACAGGGATGCTCTGAAATCCCTGCGTAAGGCCAGGGATCCTCCCAGCCCTGTCCCTCTGGCTGCCACAGGGACCTTTTACAATCACACATCAGGTCAGGTCTCCCCCTGTTCTTGGAACCCATCGAAGACTCCTCTGACTCTCAGAACACTGAGCCCCGCTTCGAGTGACAAGGCCTTGCATGGTCCGGCAATGTGGCCAGCCACACAGTCCCTATATGCCTCCAATATTGCTAATTCCTCTAATATACCCTCTATGCTTCCACTCTGGTCCTACAGCTACAAGACCTTTACATATGTCATTCTTTCTGCCAGGAATGTCCTTCCCCCACATCCACCACCCTTCACCCAGTCAACACCCACTCTTCCTTCAGATCATCCTTCAGATCACAGCCCAAGCAACACTTCCTCTGACTCCCTGTCCGAATCAGGTTGCATTCCCCACCCCCTGTTATATGGCTGACATCATCCTATGGATTTATGCTACCCAATAGAGTTGCTATTTTACATTTATTTGCTCAAGTATTTGATTGTCTTTTCCTTTCCTCCCCATCCCCCACACCCTGGACTCTCAAAGGACAGGGATTCTGACTATCTCACTCAGCTGTTTCATCAGCCCCTTACATTGTGCCTGGCATATAGCAGGTGTTCAGTAGATATTGAATGAATGAGTGGATGAATACAGCACTCTCTTTGTGACTGAAGGTACCATAGATCAGCCCCAGCCCCATTTCCATTCTCCAAAGACAACAGTCCATGTGAAAGGAGAGCCCAGGAATTGTGTGGTGCACAACTCACTCAACTGTGTTTGACTACCCTATTCATAACACTTCTCTTTCCTGTTCCACAGTTATCTCAATGATTGATCAGGTTGCCGGCATTGACTACAGTTTAGTAGATGCTCCCGAAGTGACTTCTCAAGTCCTAGACACACCCTTCAAGGTAAGCTGCTGTGGAGAAAGGACCTTAGAGCTAAAGACTGGCAGAAAATCAGTCCTACCTCCCAGAGTTGGCTCCTACCCTCCTTCCCTAATCCATCTGCCCCTAAGTTCCCATCCCTGGCCAGTGCCCACAGCAGCAATAGGAAACTAATATGCCCCCTCTTTATTCCAGTCTCTTCCACAGTTCCCTGGTGGCTGAGCAGGTCCGGGAATGCCATCTTCCTCCAATTTTATTTACTTAGCAAACACTTATATGCTTCTTACTATGTGCCAGATGCTGAGTATTTGTACAAACGTTCACTTATATAAATTTTATGCCACCTTTATGAAATAGAAGCCATTAGCATCATCCTCATTCTGCAGATGAAGAGGTTGAGGCACGAGGAAGCTAGGGACCTGCTCAAAGTCCCAGAGCTAGGAAGTGACAGTTAATCTCTAGAGTCCATGCTTTCCACCACCAGGCCACATCCTGAGCCCTGGAGAGTACAACACGTACCTCCCCAGCCGACACTGTAATGGGGGGTTTCAGGCAGCTGTCAGGGTCTAAATGTTGTGGGACCGGAAGTGGGCCCCAGGTCCACATTCTAGAGAGGAACCACCACCTGGACCACCGTGCAGGGCACAGAAGGCTTCCCCAGGCTTGCCCTAGATGCCTCTTCTTGGCACCCTCTCTGGTAGGAACCTTGGGTGGGCGATGTGTCCTTCTGTCTCCAGGGTGAATTCTTTGGCCAAAACTGGCACTCCCCAGCCCCCTTTGATGCTCCGCCCAAGAAACATGACCACATGGTCTACTTTGCTGTCTCTGAATATGTCTTCAACACAGCCAGCTGGGTTTACCACCAGGCTGGGCACATGAACTTCACCATCCAAAACCACCACGTGAGTAGGGGAGGGAGAAGGCTGGAGGCGCGGGGGGGCGGGGGGGGGGTTGGTGGAATCCCATGAGAGAGCATCAGGCTGGACCGTAGACCAAGCTTGGGGGTTTTCAGGAGCCAGGGAAAGAATGCATAATCTGAAGCCTGACAAATATGGGTTCAAATCCAGGCTGTGAATGTGGATCCCGACAGTGCCTAGTCCCCAGGGATCATGTGAGAGATTGTCTGATGAGAGGTTGGTGTCTGATGCACGATACATATTAGCTATTATCGGCAATACTTTAAAAAACTACAGCAGGCTCTGCGGTATCATATCAGGTCCTCCAAGCAGCAGATGCCAAGGCGGCACTAGACTTGGAAGAGATGGAGTAGGGGAGCACCCACGGAGGATAAAGGGGAGAGGAAGGAGGAGTCGAGGGGAGTCCTGAAACCGTGCAGGAGAGGGAAGGCAAGCACACTGGGTAGACGGGCCGCCCCGCAGGTCTGAGAAGGCTCTGCTCCGCTGAGGGAGGGCACAGAGCAGAGCCTGCTGCTCAGAGGAGCTCCGGAGCAGGCAGAAATTGGACGAGCCCAGCTCCAGGCTAAAATCCCGTGCGCGATCTTTCCAGCCTGACCACAGGCAATTGCGAAGTCTTGACCTGGCGGGTCCTCCCGGACTAGATTGGCTGCCAGGCCAGTGCTCATCAGTGTCTGGAGGGAGCTGTGGTCAAGGACTCAAGCCTCTGCCCCATCCCCTCCTCAGGCTGGCGCTGGCGGTGCTCTTAGGCTTATCTGCATGCCAACCCTAGACACCTCGTTCAGAGGCCTCCTTATGGATGGGGCTAGTGGGGGGTCCCCAGTTGAGACTGCTCTGGTTCCTCTGCTGAGATCCCCTGGCTGGGGCCTGGAGGACAGCTTTCTCCAGTCTGACTCGGTACTCAGTCCTATTCTACTAGCCCCCCTCGCCCTCCTCCCCCTGGGTCCATAAAACAGCAGGAGCCTTTTCTTTGGGGCTCCTCTGGCAATATGGTGACCCCCCTCCTCCCCTCTGCTGATGCATCTGACCTCACGGGTGCCAGGTCCCAGGGGAAATGGAGTAGTGGGGGCCGGTACCCTTTCCTGTTTAGCCTCTTGCTTACACTATCACGGTAAGTGGATGAGGGCTTGTGACTTTCAGTTTGGCTCATAGTCTTGATCCTGCCCGTGATCTGACAAAATTCTCCAGCGCTACACCCTGGCTGTGCTCGGTCAGGGGCTGGGGGCTGTCTGGAAGAGCAAGGCCCCAGCATGAATGGCTGTCAGCCAACGGCCCTTCTCGCAGGGGACCCCCTGAAGGGAGGTCTGAGCCATGCACCCCCACAGCCAAGCACTATAGGAGCAGCCCAGGTAAAGAGGGGATCTTGAGGGAGGAGAGATCAGGGAAGGTGGGCTCTGTGCAGGTGCAGGCAGGGCTTGCCAAGCCGGGAGATCAGCAAGTCAGAGGGGCGGGTTGAGAACAGCACCAGGAGAGAGGGTTTGGGGGGCAGACACCAGGAAAGAAGGTTGGGGGGTGGCCATATCTGGAAGTAGATTCAATCCAGGTTGTGGTGGTTATGAGCTCTCACTGGCTCTTGAGGGGAGCATCCTAAGAAGTAATAAATAGCAAAAGCAGACAGTAACTAAGTATTTACTGAGATTCCAGGCACTGCGCTTAGCACTTTACCCATGCACTGTCTCATTCAATCCTTGCCCATGCTGCATGGTGAGTGCTATGATCATCATCCCCATTTTACAGATGCAGAACCTAACAAAGCTTGCCAACAAGCAGTCAGCTAAAAAAATGGCGGGAGTAGTATTTGAACCCAAGCTGTCTAACCTCAAAGTCCACATCTCTAGCTACCATGTCCTGCATCTCAAGTAGCCTCTTGCTTCTACTGCAGATTCCCCTGGACTCTCCAATCCACCTGCACACCAGCTCATTCCGGGCCATTATTCCTCAGGTAAGACCACTGAACACTCATCACAGAGAACTTGACCTAGACCAAATGTGGAGATTGTAGTTGCACATCAGTGAGCTGTGCAGAGACTTTTCTCCTGCCCTCCCCCTGAGCCTCTGCCCTCTTTCTCCAGCTGGCCCGGTTGTACCCCAATATGGAGCTAGAGCTTGAGACATCACCTGAATCAGCTCCATTCCTGATGTTCACCCCTGGGAGTGTGACCCTCATGCCGGTGATAGACATCCAGGCCTTTGCTGTCCTGCCCACCTCCTCTGACCGCAAGCCACTCTTCCAGCTCAGGGTGGTAAGTCTGATCTCTGGGTTACATCTGCCACTGGGTAAGCCCCTCTCTCCACTGAAGGACTGGGAGACTGACTTCTGCCTGCCCGCAGAGTGAGGGAAACTTGCATTCCTGGCCAGAACAGCCAGGCTTCCCAAGGGCAGGCAAGAAAATTCTGAAAGGCAGAGAGAAAAAGGTAAATCAGCCAGGGGCCTCCGGATCTAAGGAATAACATGATGATGAGCTCCCTGGGGTTTCTTTTTGCCCTGCATATTCCAATTTGGGGCAACCCAGAAACACCAACAGGCATGAACAAAAAACAGCCCCAATAACATCCTCCTCTCTCTAGCCAAAGGATCAAAAAAGGGGCAACCTAGTAAGATAGAAAACTTGTAGACAATCAATAACTGTGCTACTAAAGACAAACACCAGAGAAAAAGCTATGGCCCTAACCCCACCCAGGCCAGTAAAGCCTGACTGGGGATCCGAGACTTACACTGGCATGAAGCTGTAACAACATGCCCCAACATCTCGGCTGGGGGTGTCAGTGGAACAGAGAAAAGAACAAATTAATTAAGATATAGAACAAAAGAAATTACCCAATCTGAATGAATACCCTGAAAAAATGAACAGAGCCTCAGGGACCCGTGGAACTACAGCAAAAGATCTCATCTTCCTGTCCTCAGAGTCTCAGGAGGGGAGAAATTGGGAGTGGCTGGAAAAAGTACTCAAAGAAATAATGTCCATCATCTGGTTCAACCCCACCCCTTGACAGGCCAGCCTTCATCCTCACACCCAGCTGTCAATTGGTGGTATCTTTAAAGTTCCCTAAGGCTCAGGGACTCTCTACTTCTCTTAGTAGCATGCTTCAAAGCTCAGTCATGCTTGCTGGTAGACGGCCTCCCTATTAGAATGCTCTGTGTCTTTAGCTTGAGCTTATTTACCCTTCTTGATGCTTCCATTATAACCTCTAAAACCTTAGCTCACCTTTCCTAAAGTTAGCTGTGGGGCCACCAACATCCTACATCCTCAGCCCATAATCCTTGGGTAGCTGCTTTTTACCCACATGTCCCGCATCTGGCTGTGGTTTCTATTTCTGAAGATCTGTCTCCTGGACTGGGAGCCAACAAGATTTCTACGTCCCCTCAGAGTCTGGGTTATCCCCTTTTGCTTTTCTAGACAACGAACATCTCTGCCACCATCAGTGTGAACTCTGATAGGATTGCTGGTTCAGTGACCACAGGAAGGTTAGAGGCCACGGGCAAGGGGAGGAAATGGGGTAGGTTGGGGATAACCCAGCAGCGACCAGAGCATCTAGTCTGTTCTCTGATAAGGTTGGCATTGACCCTTGGGGACAGAGATCTCCACTGGGGCTGGCTTATCCTCTAATCTGTGTGCCCCTTTGGAAAGGCATATTGACAATGCCTCAGTGGAGGAGCTGAACTTCTGCAAAGGTATTACTGAGGAGCCATAATTTGGTTGGAAGACATGGGGCTTTGCGAGGACTTTATATATAAGATTGAGAAAAACCTGTCAGTACTGCATATCAGAAAGGGAGGAGATTTTAGATGGAGGATTAAAGGTGCCCCCCGAGCCACCCCTTGCTGCCCGGACTCCCAGTCAGCAGGCACATACTCAACCAGGGAGCCAGTGGGCGGGAGGGACTATACCGCCAGGGGGTACAGGGACTCTACCCCTTCTCTGGGGCCCTAACCTGTGCCCCATGTCTCACCCACTCTGGGTGCTGCCCCTGGCTGAGGAACAGGGGCAGTGGGTGCAGAGGAATTAGTCAGAGGAACTAATCCCTGGCCTCAAGTTTAGATACCTGTTGGCTGAGAGAGTGCACTGACTCCATTAAAATGATCATCTCCTTGAGAGATCTTTAAAAAGAGAAGCTAATGTTGAGCTTGTGGGCATTTTCTGGAGGTCCCAGAATTTGAGTTTATGCCTCAGCCTGGCTTGGGGGGTATGCAGTATCTGAGAGGACAGCAGAGAGCTTGGACTATGGAGAGACAGCAAAATGAGGAGGATATAGGAGGACCTCACAAGGTGGTTTTATCAAGGAATTAGCAAAACTACTCCGCCCCATGAGCAGAGAGCAAAAGATCGGTCCAGGGCAGTTAGAATCCCCGAACAAGGGAGCCAGGCCAGCAGCCAAGAGGATCAGTGGGGGGAATTCAGGTTTGGCTTCTATAGGGACAACACCAGAGATCCCCTGGTGTTGTCCACCGCCTTCCTTCCCTCCAGCGGGTACCAGCTGTTTGCCAGCATCACGCAGGGGCTCTCCCTCCTTTTGTTATTGTCTATTCCCACGTTATGCAAATAATGCGTGCTCATGGCATGGAAATTGCAAAAGTATTAAAAAAAAATCCCTCATAACCTTGCCACATAGAGACTATCACCACTAATAGTGTCATGTTTCCTTCCAGCCCTTTTTTTTATACACTTTTACATCATTGGACATACAGAGCACGACTTTTTGCATCCCACTTTTTCCAGTTAATATTTACACCATCCTAATGTATTTCAGTTATTGAAGACGCTCAGCAACCATAAGTTGCAACAATGTCACTTCTTCTTAAATCACTGTGCATGCTGAAAGCGTTAGATGCACAAGCACCCCATTGCAGAGGAACCCTTGAGCGCCCAGCCCCCATAAATGGCCTTGCCCGTAAGCGCTGTACTCCCCACTGGGGTAACTGCGAGGAAGTAGCAGGCTTGGGGTGACTGACCCATGCTTCTCTTTCTCCACGCAGTAAGCTGAAATTGGAACTGAAACACTCCAACATCCGTTTCATCAACGTGAGTGCTTTTCTCCCAGCACCTCTTGGGTATCTTCTCCAAACAGGGCTTCAGGGGGCTCCAGGAGAAGCTCCAAGGCTCCCTGAGAAGACTGTGCTGCAGTCTTGCCGAAGTGGACGCCATGTCTGAAAGTTAATCATCTGAGAAGGGCACTGTCTGAGGGCTAATGGGGACACAGGACAGGGACATCAAGAGCACAAGCTTTGAAGGAAGATAGATCTGGGATCTGATACCAGCCATGCCACTTGTTACTGTGTGACCTTGGGAAAATAACTTAACTTTTCTGAGCCTCAGTTTCCTTGACTGTAAAATGGGAATACACAATATCTACTTCAACCACTTCCAATGGGAACTGTAACATGAAACGGGGCAATGGATTTAGGAAGACACTTTGACAAAATTCTTCACACGTAGTAAGCTCTAAGTTTATGCTTACTATTGTAATAATAGTGGCCCGGGTGCACAATGCCTTACCCAAAGCCCTCAGGGGTTTGATGGGCTTCAGAATTAAGAATTTATGAGAGGTAATTTGGAGCATGCATGCATCATATGTGATATAACTCTTACAGCAGGATCTGGGGCAGCACTCTATAATCAGACACATTAATACTTCTGCAACAGAATTTAAAAATATCCACACAAAGTGGAATAAAGAAACACTAAACATCCCCATGGCGATTCAGGTCATATTTTGCCATAAAATGAGCTTGTACATACTGATGGAGAATGAAGTCCAGAGATCGGAGTTGAGGAGATGGTGGGTAAGGAGCTGTCTACCTGTGCTGGTGACAGTCACAGTCAACCCGTTTTGTAAGTGGGTTGGCATGTAGGTGTTTCTGGAGGCGGGGGGCCAGCGAGACGTTGTTCCCTCAGACTCCTGTTTCCATGCATGTCTCGTTTGCTCCCTTTACTCTGCCCGCCCCCCACTCCAGGTAGAGCTGATGGAAGCCATCCTCAATTACTACGCCCTCCACACGTTATACGCCTCTCTCAACGGTAAGAATAGCTGCTACTGGGGCACCTGGGTGGCTCCGTTGGTTCAGTGTCTGACTCTCTGTTTTGGCTCAGGTCATGGTCTCGGGGTCCTGGAATCGAGCCCCACGTCCGGCTCCGCGCTTAGCGCAGAGGCAGCTTGGGATTCTCTCCCTCTCCCTCTCCCTTTGCCCCTCCCCCTGCTCGCGCGTGCGCTCTCTCTCTAAAATAAATAAAAAAAAATCCTAAAAAAAAAAAAAAAAAAGAATAGCTGCTACTGACCGCCCCGTGCAAATGTTCAATTCTACTCTTTCTGTAGGATTCATGGATCAGTCGGTCAGTCAACAAGCTGAGCCCCTCTTCTGCCCCGGCTGGGGTCCTGGCAATCCGTGAGCCTGCCCTCATAGAGCTTACGCTCTGTTGGGAAGGGAGACATGTAACAGTCAGTGACAAATGCTGTGACAGGAAGCACAGGGGGCTGCAGGAGCTAGGAGGGGGCACTGAACAGGACTCCAGGAGGCGAGGGTTAAGTTGAGTCCCAAAGCACAGGGAGTTAGGCCAAGGGAGGAGGGGCATTCCAAGCTGCACCTGGAGAACACCTGGAGTTAGTACCCCTGGGTTCTGGTCCAGGTTAGGTCACTGACTTGCCAGGTGACCTTGATGGAAATAGTGCTTGGCATGGTGGCTGCCTGAGAACCCGGCCGGCCTCCTCCCATGCCAGGACCTTCTCCACCCGGCCTCACCATCTGCCTTTTACCACATGAGAGAAGAGCAGGGCAGTTGTCCTGGAAAAGACAAAGGGGAGGAGATGGTGGTCCTCAGGTGAGTGTCTGGTCAGAAGCACTGCATGCCCCATCCCAGGCCCCTTTGGCTCTGGAGGCTGGCTGTCCACGTCTGTCCCCTCCTGAAGAAGCTGCGTTTACCAGGCATTTGCATCTCCATGCCCACCTCCAACAGAAAACCAGCCCTGAATCCAATAGCCGACCACATTTCGAAGTAGCCCGCCCTCTCACTGGCCATAAGCGTGTGTCCCCAACCTTCCCTGTCCAGCCCGTGTCTCTCTGCTCTTTATCTTCCAGCAAAGCTTGAGGAGGGCTTCCCTCTCCCTCTGCCAAGGGACACCCACCTCAACAGTTTGGAGCTCCAAGTCCACGAGGTCAGTGAGACGTGGGGTCTGGGTGGGGAGCTCTAAGACCTCCTGGGAGGGCTGCTTCGGGGCTGGTAGCATTAGGGGGAGCCCTGACTCCTACTCACATCCTGGACCTAATGTTCATCGGAAAAAATGTTTTTGTTTTAAATTTTGGAGCACAGATGGCAAGTGTTGATTGTGTGGAATCTTGACTTCCACATAAGCTCAGTTTCCAGTAATTCAGTTCAATCACGTCAACTGAATATCAACAGTGTGCAGGGCCCACTAGCCACGTATGGCAGGAAGGGGTCAGATTAGATGCACCACTTCTGGGTTAATGAGCCAGAAGCTCCTGGGTGGTGTGAGAGTGTCCACGGGGCCACCAGCCAGCCTTACCACCCACAGCAGCAAGGCCTGGTCCTGGAGCAAAACTGACCAGGTCTTTTAGGGCAAGCAACACATCAGGAGCAGGGACAGGGACAATGACAGTTCACTCTATAACTCCAGAGGTACCAATGTCTTCACTGTCCATAGTATGTTCTAAGGTAATCCTGGACTACATCCTCATAAACTAATTATGTGAGGGGAGTAAATTCCGGCAGCACCCAGATGTGCATTGTTCTCCTGGGAGAAACAACTTTTGGAGGGGGACAGTGACATTCATGCGTGTCTTCCAGAAATCAGACTATTGGGAAATGCAAATAAATTCCTGGGGTCAGGCAGCTAAGAGGGACAGTGTTTTCTAAAGGCCTCCCAGGCCTGAAGGCTGGTTTTTTGCCCTGACCTGGTTTTCGGGCCAAGTGAGAACTTGCCTCTGCCACTGAAGCCTTCTCTTTCAGGAAGCCCCTATGCTCTGCAGCTCAGAAAATGATCTTTCTGGTGTGTCCTTTTTGCCTCCTCTCCAGAACTTCTTGCTCTTGGGGGCCAACCTTGATTAGGCTGAACACTGAGGAAGGAGCAGCATGGCTGGAGGAGGGGACGACACTACAGCTGGGCCTGCCCCTGCCCCTGTAGGGGTCCGGAGGTTGTGGTCACTCTGCCTCCACTCCCATGAGGACCTCCTCCACATGGACGCTCGTCACCGGGGAGCCTGGGACACCCGAACACACACCTGACCGTGGCACGCCTTCCCCGCCTTTCTCCTCCTCCTTCCTGTCCCCTTTGCAGCTGTCCTTAGCCTTACTCTGGGCAGCCTCTAGAATAAACTTCAGTGAGCCGTGTCCAGTCACCACAGAGCTCAAAGCACCCTGCTCAGCATTAAACATGAGCTTAGTCGTACGTGTCCTTTGTTGTGGTTACAGGAGCAGAAGCGAGACAACGTGAGCTTAAAGCCTTGTGTTGCCGCTTCCTTGGTGCGTAATATTTATCGAGATGGGAGCAGAGACCGCCCAGCCGCTATATGAGTTCCACATTTATTCAACAAACCTCGATCTCAATTTGCTAATGATCGTCCGGCACTGGCTTCTGTCTCTGGGCTTGGTGCTGCGGGAGGAGGGGGTCAAAGAGAAGAAAACACATGGTCTCTGTCTTCACCAAGCTTACGGCCAAAAACGGGGGCCGGAAGACTTTTTCTATAAAGGGCCAGAGAGCAGATCTTTTAGGTTTTTACCACACATCTAGTCTCCGTCGGGAATACTCCTCACGGCCACCGTAGCAGAGAACAACCAGACAGAGAGCGAGTGGGCGTGGCTGTGTCCCAATAAAACTTTGTTTGCAAAAACAGGCAGCAGGCCAGATCCAAGCCGCAGGCCCCGGTGTGCCCACCGGTGGTCTAGAAGAACACATAGGATTTATGCCGTGAATACAAGCCTGGTTTTCAATTAGAAGATGTGCTAACATATCCTACCTGGGTCACAAGAGTAATAACGAGCACAAGCTGGAGGCAAGTCTGGCCTGCTTTCAAATCGTGGCTCCCTCTCCTTGGCTCTCCGTGATTCACGAAATCTCTCCGAACCCCCGGAATCTTCAGTTTTAATATAGCACGAGCAGTGGCCAAGGACCATGCCACCCGAAGCCCTCTGCTCAACCTTAAACGTGTCGAATGACTTAGTTGTACTTGTCATTTGACGTCATGACATGGGGAAGGCGAGAAGTTGAAATAAATTATTTGGAAAGTGCTCAGGGCAATTCTTGGCCCGTGCTGCGCCAGATCAATAAACTAGCGCTGTCATCATCATCCACTCCTCATTATTAAAGACCGCTTCATATATTAGGAGTAGGATGACAGATTTTCAAATTTAAAAAAATCTGTCTTGCACCGTCAACCAAAATCTACCTATGGTGAGATCACAGAGGTGTTGTGTTTTTTATCTTGGAAGGCCCAGGAAATGAGCCAGGAATGTCTGATGACCTTGACCAGGAAAACCCAAGGTGTCTAAAAGTGAAGACGCGACGTGGTCAGCCAGGATGGTGAAAGAGAATGAACCGAAGTGAAACATTATCCTGGAATGCTCAATTATCAGAGTTACGACTTTCCCTGTAGATTATTCTATCTCCTCTGTTGCCCTCATCATCGGCTGTTGGAGAGCAACTAGCAACTGTCCAGCCTCCTCCTCTGCCCCTTCCTTCTCTGTTTCTGCAACCTCACACCCACTCTCGTTCCGCTGGGGGAGCACAGTTCCAGGCTTACCCCCGAGCCATGCCTGCTCCCATCTTCCCCTGTGGGTGTGCAGGGTTGCCACATATGGTCATGCAGGCCATGCACTGCACAGCTCTTGGGAGCACCATTCACATCGCGGTCTGTGGCCGAGATGCAGAGATGGTGAGACATGCCATAGAAAAGGCTTGATTTGAGCCAAGGTTCCTCAGCCTCAGCATGATGGACATTTTAGGCCAGATAATTCTTTGTTGTGCGGGGCCGTCCTTTTACATTGTAGGATGTTTAGCAGCTTCCAGGCCTCTACCCACTAGATAGTAGCACACCCCCCCACACAATGGTGCCCACCAAAAACGTGTCCAGACATTGCCAAAAGCCCCCTGCGGTGGGTAAAATAGCACCGTGTTAAGGACCGCTGACAAAGGAAAGATGTTCTCCCAGCATATCCTACTCTGGTGAGAGCCCTATGTTAGCCCGTCCTAGGGGAAGACAGAAAGTTCCAACCTTGCCCCAAAGTGGCTGGTCTCACTAATAAAGCCACCGGAGAGTATCTTAAGGGCAAAGCCCTTGTGGATTTTTTCTAGCCCCAAGATGTACTCTAAGTAGAAGATAGCTAAACTTGCTGAGAGCCAAACGTGTGCAAGGCTAAACAGAAATCTAGGTTTTACAAGAAGTGTGGGGGCTCTCCAGGAAGCATGGCCCTGGACCACAATGTTTGTGCCCCTGAAGCATGAAAGCTCCAAAGACACCTGGAGATTTTCTAATTGTCAAAGCTTTATTCATAAACCTGACTTTTTTCATTTAAAAAAAAAAAGCTGTCTGCCTTGACTGGGGAGAACGCTTTCGGTTACAGAGATGCCCCAACAGTTGTTGGGATATTGGCCAAAGATAGCATCTAGATGTAAAGCCTGGTTCCTTCAATACCCCCTACGAATATCAGATATGCATCTTATGCCACAAAACTAGGGTGGGAAAAGGTCTCATTTCTTTATGTTGGCTAAATTAAGTATAATCTCCTCTGTGCCCTCATTTATTGAACTATTAGGAAAGTCTTCCCCCATTGTTGCTGGATGTCCTTATTCCCTCAGAGACAAGTAAAGGTCCTAGGGTATTCCCTAGTCCCAAACATTGGGGAGCCCCACTGGTGTCCAGCCTAGTCTTCTGTGCTGATAAATTCCCTGTCCAGTGAGCCTGCACTGTCCCCTGAAGACAGGAAGTCCTGTCTTTCTAAGCCAGGCTTGGGCATTAAGTTTTGTGCCCAAGATCATTTCCTCTGGCTCCTCCATCAGAAGTCTGTCACCATCTTTCCTCTCTCACAGAGAAGGCAGCTTTGTGAGGGGTCTGGTCATTGCCTTGTGAAGAAGCTGCAACACGATGTTGGCGGGGATGCGGAGAAAGGGGAACCCTCCTACACTGTTGGTGAGAATGCAAGCTGGTGCAGCCACTCTGGAAAACAGTATGGAGGTGCCTCAAAAAGTTGAAAATAGAGCTACCATATGAACCCA